CTGAATCTGTGGAAGCTCCGCGATAGCCACCACACGAAGTAACGAGTAACGACCCTATCTAAATCCCAGTAACGAGTAACGACCCTATCTAAATCCCAGTAACGACTAACGCGTTCCTGATTTTGGCATAATAACTAGTTACCGTGCTCGTTACCACAATAATAACGTAGTTACTGTAACCAACAGTTACTGTGTCCCAACACTGGAAACAACACACTGATGTGCGGGTGTTTCATGTGTTTTTCACACATCAAAGGCAAAGAGTTCACCAGCACACTTATTTGTCATGATTGCCAGCACAAGCACACATATGCTATGACTGAACAAAGGCACACATGTTCTCATTTCCTTCACAGTGTGTCAGGATCTGACGGTGCCCTGACCGGTCGACCTGCCGGTGTGTGTATGTGTATATCTGTGTGCGTGTGTATGTGTCTCTCCTGTCGCTCTGTCTTCCCCTGCGGCTCCGCTGTGATGTGTTGGGGGGTAGCCTAGCAACGGGCTACCTTCGACCCGGAGGTGCTGTCGCCCGGACCTGCCACACCTACAGTCAAGCCACCAGCTACTGCCAATCAACTTCCATCTTCAGCAGGACTACTTAATGGTGTGGCTGAGCGACAGACAGCGCTGCAGTATTGCACTAAGCCTGGTAGTGTCGTTGAGTCGCTAAACGTTATTGTAGTGCTGTCCGATCGTCATACTCATTCTGCTGTCGTGTGTGTGTGTTCACCCAGGGATTGACGAAGGATTCACGGACACAAGGGAAGCACCTGGAGGAGAGACGGGCACTCATTACTACGCACGGGCTTACACGGAAGGAGGGACGCACTATCACCACTGTCGCACATTTGAACTGTTGTCACCTTGCTGCACTGTAAATAAATGCACTGTCATTATTTCTGAGCTCCGCGCCTGAGTCTACTCTCTAACCACCGTGACACAGTGTCTCTTGGGATCCTGATAGCAATCCATTTGCTGACACACCAGGGGTGCCAAACTCATTTTAGTTCAGGGCCCAAATGGACAAATGTCTATTCTCATGTAGGCCGGACTGGGAAAGGACAGTTCAAAAAGTACAAGCACAGCATAGCTGTTAATTACAAAACACCTCAAGTTATTTAAGAAATTCTGAAGACAAAGAACACACAAACACACAGTGTCTCAGTGATTCACAGGACTATCATGCAGCACTTTCACAGTTAGGTCGCATAGTTTATTTGACTCCCGATACCTGGCATCTTTTAGCTTTCTCCAGCTCATCAATATCAGGTGTCACATTCTGAGTGGTAGCTAACTTCAGGATGTGATTCAAGTGCTTGTGTGTGAGCCTTGAGCGCAGTTTTGTTTTATTTTTGCTCATTGCAGAGAAAACTTGCTCACAAAGATAATTGGTTGTGAACATGCACAACAGTTTTGCAGCGAGGACTGTCAAGTTGGGGTAACCTGTCAAGAGATTATGATAAAATGTGTTTGAGCCAGTTGTGGCAAATTTGCCCTTCAAATCCGAGTCACGCTGCAAGTCTATTATTTTAAGTTGGACGCTGACGGGCAGAGAGAGGGATTCACGGAGGGACGCAACTGGAACAGGAGTTTCTTTTTTGAAAAATTGCAGCTCATTTTTTACTTTACAAAATCATCTCGTGGGCCGGATTAAACCTGTTTGCTTCAATAAGTTCCTTGGTTGCTTTGTCTCATGTTTTGAGACATTATGCATCTGCATTATGAAACAGTGCCTTTTACCTTCTCTCCACTTTTGTGAGTGTGGACGCTTCATCTCTTTGCTCTTTGATGCTTTGCTTCTTTTATTGATTTTATTGATTTTTATGCTGATTTTTTCCCTTTTTTCCTTATGAGCTTACCTGCGATTGCTTCTGGACACTCATAGATCATTAGGACTAAATTGTTCTTAACAGAAACAGCAACATTTTTACCTTATCCTCAGCGCTCCGTGTGTCTGTGGCCTAGACACAGCTG